TAGTGAAATCAACCCTCATTACTACCATATGAACACCAGTATATTATTATTTTTCAGTGCCCTAAGTGAAATGAGTTAAAGTTTAATTAAACATCCACTGACCAAAGGTTCACATCATTGTTGGAACAAAACCAGAGCTATTAGTTCCAGAAAGGTCAGAATTCACTGTCTCCTTTTGTTGAGGATGCTTCAGGCTTGTGAAGGAAACAGCACTGCCAAGGAAAGCCAGCAGTGCTGGCATCTCTACTGTGTATGATTTGCAAAGCAGTATTCCAGTTTTTTACACTCTCAATTCACATCCTTTCACCACCACTAGAAATCTCACACATGTTACTTACAAACACTGTTGAAAGCTTGACAACTGAATATAAAACTGTGAGATATGCTGTGAACTGATGAATGATGGCTTTAGTAAAGCACGCAGCTTGTTAAGAACGTATTGCAATTGCGGACATTGAATGCGTTGCTCAAAAAACTTTCATGAAATGATTTTGAATTAAGGTTTCTATATGGGACATCAGCACACTTATATCAGCAGCACAGACCTGGTGATCCCCATTTCCTGTCTTCTTCAGGGTCTCCAATAGGCCCCAGTGGATTGGAGGCAGAGCGCTGTAAGAACTCAGCAAGTGAAGCTGACTTAATGGATTCTGATTTATTTCTGCAATCCTCAAGGCCCTCAAGATAGCAGGTGCAAACTTAGAATAATGAGCTGTAGATGAAATAATAATTGGACAAGTTCTATCTTGTAATCGATCTGCAACTACTTTAGCAACAGCTGTGTGTGTATCCAAAATATATCCTGTAGTACTGTACACAGAGTGAATAGCAGCCAGACAGTCCTCATCAGAGCACCAGCCAGCCACTAAGTCCTGCTGAAGCTTTCCAAGAAGATCTTTCCGCAGCTGGAAGTGGCCCTGATTTTCCAGCTGATTAAATAATTGTGTCACCAGTTGTCCATCTTCATTACCAATCAGGTGTAAGTATCGCTCAAGATTGGAGGACTTCAAAATATCTACTGCTGGTGAAAAACTGGAAATTAATTTTCTTCCTCTCAAGTCATAAACACCTGTTCTTATGAATTCAGTCAAAACATTGTTTTCATTGGAAGCACAAATACATTTCCTAATAGGAATTCCCATCATTTTAGCATAGAAAGCAGCTAACATGTTGCCAAAGTTTCCCGTAGGAATGCAAATATCTACAGGGCTTCCAAAAGAAATAATACCTTGATGAATGAGATCAAGGTATGCAGAGGCATGATAAACTATCTGAGGAAGCAGTCGTGCCCAGTTTATGGAGTTTGCTGCAGCTAAAGCTGTTCCATATTCTACTGTAAGAAAGCCAGTAAAATCAGAATTAGTAAAGATTTGCTTTATAGCTGTCTGGCAAAAATCAAAATCTGATTTGACACCCACGGACCAAGCATTTTCCTTCTGACAGCCAATCATTTGTGATTTTTGAATTGGGCTTACTCCATCCTCAGGAAAAAAATTGACCAGAGCAATTCTCTGTTTATCAGCATCATGGAGACGACTAAAGCCGTCTAGAACAGCACTCCCTGTGTCCCCCGAAGTAGCTACCAGAATCAAGTAATTGCAGCTTCTGGGAATGCAGTAGGCAAACAAATGTGGCATCAACTGTAATGCAAAATCTTTAAATGATGCTGTTGGTCCATGAAATAACTCAAGAAGGAACTGATTACCTGCCAGATGCCTAACTGGGGCAACTTTAGAACAACTAAAGTTTTCTCCATAAGCAGTTTCAATAATTTCTGCCAGCTTAGAAGCAGGAATATCAGCAGGATGTATGCATTTTTCTAGTATCACCTGGGCTCTTTCAATGTAAGTTGCTTCTATCAGACCTTGCCATTCTTCAGCAGTGAATTTTGGAAGCCCTCTCTCAGGAACAAAGAGTCCTCCATCAAGGGCTAAGCCCTGAATAACAACATCACTGAAATATAATTTGTGAGAGTCTTCTTCTGTACTCCTTGCAGTATGACTAGACCTCGTTGAAATGAAAGTTTCCAGTTCTGAGTCTTGGTATCTCTTCACAGCATCAAGTACCTTTTCTGCTACAACCTCTGCTGCAACATCCCCTCCACAAAGAACACGGATGTCAAACCACCTTTTGTAGAACTGCTTCCTAAACTGAAGTATGTCTTTGAGAGAAATACCAGGAGACAGACCCACAATACGATCCATTTGCTTTGATTTCAGCCTCCTCATAATGACTGTTGTGGGCACATCCAGATACACAACTATTCCATTTTTCTTTATGTGCTGCATGCCAGCAGCATGCATTGGATTGGACCCACTAAGGGAAATTACACTTCCAGATGCCGAGAACTTCAACAGGGCTTTTCCTTCTTCCTCTAAAAATTCCTCATAACCAACGTCCTGCAGTTTTTCTGACACACTCATATTCCAGGTTGTTTCAAGGACATCATCATCTATGTCTATGACAGGGCAATCCAGTTTCTGACCCACTATTCTCCCAGTCGTTGTTTTCCCAGCACCTGGAGGTCCCATCAGGATAATATTTTTCTTTCCAAGAAGAGAATGACTTGAGAACCATGACTTCCATATCTGTGCAAATGCAACAGGTCTTGAAAGCATCAGTTTTAAACACATGCTAGAAAGACTGTTTTGGGTTATTAGTCTTAAAGGCTGATACTGAAAAATGTGAAACATCTTCTGATGAGTTATTGTGGGTTTTTTCCAAGACAACTTGACAATCCACTTAATTGCTTCAGAAAGAAAACAAAACAAAACAAAACAAAACAAAAAACCCAAACAAACAGTAACTAGTCCTTCAGCAAATATCTAAGAAAAAGTCCTCAAAGATATAAAATTCAGAACAAGACTTAAAACATAAATCCAGCTATAACCTCATCAGTGCCAATGGGGCATTTTTCAGAGTAAGACTCATTCCCTTCTCTTGCATAGTTCCAGCTTGTTTCCACTGACAATCCAACTTCAAAACATCCATGTCCTGAAGGTAAAAAAAGACATCTGAACCTAATACTATAATACTGTTTTCAAATAATATTGCTTATAGGAATTAAAAACCAATTACTTTTTCTTCTAGAAGATTTGCTTTAAACTACACATTTATAAGTAACAATTAACTTGATTACCTTCTTGTAATCAAAATGTTAACAAAATATGCATTTGTCCCACCTCCCAAGAAAACTTTGATTTTTAAAAAAAATTATTTCTTTCTAAATAAAAGCAAATGCAAGACCCACTTAAATACACAGATAACTCACAGTCTTGTGCAACAGCAAGGCTGGATGAGTTGCATTCAAATCTCTTCTGAAGGGATGGAAACCAAGTAAGGGATTTTTCAAGAACTCCTATACTGGAATTGTATTGAATGTACTTTGAGGATAGAGAGAGGAGGAAACACAGACAGACAAACAGACAGAAATCATGAGGACTCTTTAACAAAAAAAGTAACTGAGAAGGATGGATTTCCAACAAAGTAAGAAACTCCCAACATTGTGCTTTGTTTACTTAGAGAAATAAACACCAATATCAGCACTAATTGGAGCACATGATTTGTCTGTGATGTTTAGAGCAAAAGAGGAAAGACTCAAAATCTCCCTAAAACTGTGAGGGGGCTGGGGGAAGAGCAAATGCTCTTCTATGCAAAGTTGAGCTTGCAAACAGTAAATTTCTGTGTTTGCAATGAGTGCTGTGACCTGGAGGATACGCTGTCATTACAAGGTATAGATCAGAGCAAAGATGGGCATATAATGCTAGCCAGGGTTTTTTCTTCAATTCTTTTAAAGTATAAGGGGATCATCCTGTGTAGGTGCAATATAAGGGGTTTATAAATCTTTAATGAAAAAGAGTTTTAGAAACCCTTATAAACACTTAATAAAAGGAAAAACAAACTGCAAAGAGAATTTGTAATATCCAGTATTGCTCTAAAAGTGTACTGCAATAGTAAGTACTCTATTGTGTATATAAATATGTATATTTTCCATTTAGGGACAGAAAGAGACCTTCATATTAAACTTGCATAACATAAAGAAGTTATGTTCAGGAGTAAATAAGCCCAAAACCAGTATATTTTAGTGACTTTATTTCTTGAATGTAAGAACCACTTCAAGCAGTGTGTGTGTGAACTAAGGGAGTGAAAACCACGCCAAGCACAGAGTCCAGGCTGCCATGTCCTGCTCCGCTACAGGTTAACTTTGAGCTGCAGTCAGTTGGTGTGCATTGCTCAGATAATGGGTGCAACATCTGGACTGCCTTAAGAATTTTGGCCATATGTATTGTTTAAAATCAACTTGAGTTTTGCACTCACCCACATAAAGCACATGTACATAGAAAGCTGCAAACACTGAACACAACCCATTTCTTTGAAATTATTTTTTGTCCACTGGCAAAACTTCAACAGTAGAAACTATCAAATGATCCACCCACCCCACTTTAGATATAAACTCCATGCCAAAAGGGTGGGGTTGTTGCAGCAGAGCATACCCATACCTCCAGTCACATTTTGCTTTGGCTATTCAGCTCGACATGGACATGGACAGCACCTAAGCATCTTTAGCCGTGACCCACAACGTTAACAACCACTGCCGGTGACAGCGCTCCAGTGAAAAGTGGGCCTTGTTACTTGGATAGACACGAGAGCAGCCCCCGCACCTGCAGCGGCTCCCTGAGGGAGTCAAAGCGCGGATGGGAGGAGGCGGGGAGCCGGACGGACCGCACCCACCCAGTCGGCCGGCAGTGCTGCGGGCTGCCACCTCCGTTCGCCTCGCCCTGCCCTGCCCTGCCCTGTCCTGTCCCGTTACCCCGGTCCCGGTCCCGCTCCCACCGCCGCCCCCCGGCGCCCTCAGCGCGGCGCGCGCACGTACCGGCGGGGGCGGGGGCCGCTGCCACAGCACCGCGCACGCGCAGTCCCACGGCCCGGCGCGCCCCGCCTCCCCCCGCGCCGCGCGGTACCCGCGGCAGCTGCGCCTGCGCGCTGGAGCGGGCGGAGCGGAGCGGAGGCCCCGCCCCTCATGGCGCCGCTCCCCGGCGGTTCCCCCGGTAACCGACAACGGCCGCCGCCCCGCCCCAGCCGCAGGGCCCGGTGGCGCTTCCCGGTCCGAGCCCCAGCGGGCTCGGTACCCGCGTCCAGAGCCCCGCAAGCAGGCGAGCACTTCCCTGTGCCCGGAGCCCCGCGGTGGCAGCATGGCCGCGCAGAGTGCCCAGGAGGGCGCCTGTGAGCCCCCGCCCCGGCCGAGGCAACCCGGCAAGTCTGACGGGTATGTGGCGGTGATGGAGCTGCTTCTGGCAAGGCAATGCATCTAACGGGTAACAGGTTTTACAAAGAAGAAGAAGTTTATTCATAGTTACTCCTCCTCCTAACGAGGCACTAACATCAGGAAGGACACTGAGGTGCTGGAGTGTGTCCAGAGAAGGACAGCGAATGGTGAAGGGTCTGGAGCACAAGTCCGATGAGGAGCAGCTGAGGGAGTTTAGCCAGGAGATTAGCCAGGAGAAGAGGAGGCTCAGGGGTGATTTTATTGCTCTCTACAGCTGCCTGAAAGGAAGGTGCAGCCAGGTGGGGGTTGGTCTTTTTTCCTAGGCAGTTAGCGACCGGGCAAGAGGACGCTAACTCTAACCTGCACCGGGGCAGGTTTAGATTGGACATTAGCAAGAGGTTTTTCACAAGAATGGCTGATTAGGTACTGGAGTGGGCTGCCCGGGAAGGTGGTGGAATCCTTGTCCCTGGAGGTATATAAGGAAATACTGGATGTGGTGTTCAGTCTAGTTGACAAGATGGTGTTGGACTTGATAATTCAGAGGTTTTCTCCAGCCTAATTGATTCTGTGATCTGAAAGTTTACAGTCTGCTCCAAGAAGTGATGATTAAGTTTGGTGTCTTCAGTGACATCTTGTTAGTTCATAATTTACAAAGCACTCCTTCTGTGCACAGGAATTACATGACATCTTTGCTATTTGCACTTAGAACAGCTCAGTGAACAGCTGAAAAGGTGGGCTTTCCAGTTTCCATACTTTACATGTTTCTGGTGTATCCTCTGACATTGTTTCTTCTGCTTCCCTTTCTTATCACTTGTCTTAAAAACATAAGAAGAAAAGGTCTTTTGCCAAGAGTTATACAGATATGTTGTTTTTTTCAAGTCCCTATTAATATAAAAGGCTGTTACACTTAGCATCTTTAATGAAAGGGTAGGTCGTAATTCAATAGCTTTAAAACAAGCAGATGTATCAGTGACACTCATTAGAACACAGATAGGTATCCTGTTTCAGGTAAAAGGATTCAGACTTGTGAGATTCCTAGTTCTGAGACTTTCCCATGTAAAAGCAGATCTATAAATTTTGTTTGTTTTCATTGTGAATGGATACGGTTTTGGACAGATACTTTTGAAGACAGAGGAAGGTGAAAGGACAATATGGTGAGGCATGCACGCTAAATCCATTCCTGACTTAATACCGTTCAGGATTTGGATACTCCATGACCATTAGGTTCAGTTTAGGCAATGGATTCCTTGGCTTAGATATAATCAATCTGACTAAATCCCCTTCTGATCTCATTGACTTCTGTTGTCACCACACTTGCAGCTTAGGTTCACAATGTGACATATTCAGCTGGTAACAGGACTATTGAACCTGGTTAATAGTGTGATTTGACCAGTTTTAACTAATGCATACAAAATCTACTTTGTTGCGTGGGGTTTTTTTTTCCAAATGAAATCATATATATTTCACTCTCAACTGACTGGTACTACTCATGTAACCACAGCAAACATCATCGTTTTCCCCAACTTTGATATCCCAAGTTGACACCTAGTCATCTTCTGTCTTCTTACAGATGTATTGTCTCTTTGTCCCTTGCTAAATGATGAACAGATTAGATTCTGATGTTGGTCATAACCATGTTTTCTTCCTTGCAACCCTCTCTAACCCTGTGATATTGAGCCACTTTCTTGGTCTGGAAAGTCACTGAAAAGATAACAGATCCCCCATCTCTTTGTCGAAAGGCATGTCTGTAGCTGTCTACAAATGATGTGTAATGCCAGTATGTAAGAAAGTCAGTGTCTTCTCATGCATTTTCTCATTCCAAGACTGTGAACCCTACTAGGTCAAAATTTGCATAAAGCCAGTGCCTTTCTCTCCCACATGCTCATGATGCCGCTTCTAGAAAATTATGAGGAGTACTATTATTTGTCAGTTTGGTGAGTTTGTGCAATGTCTATTGCTGTTTGCCATGAATTTAACAGATAAAATAAAATAAAACCTTATTCCTTATAACTAGAAGTATTTCAGGAAGAATATATGATCTTCTGTAGATAATCCTCTCTCTGATTTTGGAGACCAAATCTTCAAAAGACAAAATAAGTCCACAGTTTTAATGAAGTCCTCTGACATGTTCTAATGTTATGATCAAGTACAAATACATTTATTGAACATTGCAGCTCACGGACAAGAGCTGTTATCAGTGTTGCTACTGTCATACACATTCAGTGGTCCAGGATTACATGGTTTCTTTCTTCATATTTCAGTATTTCCATAGAATGGGTTGCACTATATATAATCTTTTTTGTTCTTCTTTTTTATCTTTACTTGAAAACATGAACGCATTCATAAAGACTTTTTTCTGTAAAAGAAGCACAGTTTTTCATACGCTTTTGTCTACCATAGATTAATATGACATGTTTTCTAAAGATGGGCAGATTTTAAAAGTACAGTGAAAGAGCCTTCACTTCAGGAGCAGGGAGTTCTGCTCCCTCAGGCAAACATCTGTGACAGCTCAATCCTTCAGACAGAGGCAAGATGTTGCCAATCAGCTAATGATCAGCATTTGGCTTCTTTTGGAGATTTTGATTAAAGCAGAAGTTATCGTGCCATATGCAACATTAGACCAAAACAGCAGTGTGTGCGTACCATGTTCATACAGCTTTTCATGTCTGAGCCCTTACTGATTTGCACATCAACTGTTTCAGTGCCAAACCCACTACTGATTACCATTGTTAAGGATCACATCTCCTGTCTGTGTAACGTAAGGAATCTGCAGTGTGCTGTGCTATTTCAGAGCAGTCGCCCATCTCATCTCTCATAAGAGTCTGTAACAGATGGTTCAACTGGAACATTGAGACAGTGATACAGTGGACAGTAATAAGGAAAATCTGATGAACAAGGACATCCTGCACAATTCTTGACTACATTTGACATTTTTTCTCAAGCGTAAATCATAGAACCATAGATAATGCTGAGTTGGAAGGGGGCCATCAGGATCATTGAGTCCAACTCCTGGCCCTGCACAGGACACCCCAAGAATCATACCATGTACCATAAGGAATTAATGCAAGCAATACTCTAGTTTATTTCCAAAATGTAGGTTTTGTTGTATTTCAGAATGTATGTGTTCAGTGTATATATTTGGTATTTATTTCCTCAAGTGTGATAATCCTGACCTCAGAGACACAAGAGCAGAAGGAAAAGCAAGTTAACTTCAGAACCAGAAAGCTCATTTGTCAGTGCACTATTAGGTTTAGCCTTAGCATGGAAGCTGTATGAATGACAGTCTTTATTTGGGAGAGAGTACAAAACAAAACAGATTAGGCATTTGCCATGAGCTACTGCAAAAAAGTATATTCTTTGAAGAACTATTTTGAATATTTTTCTGACCCTTAACTTCTTTATGGATATCTTTTAACCTCTAAGGTATATATCCAAACTTAGAGAACTTGTGAAACATGAAGCAGAGAAAAATAAATCTCAGTGGAAAACTATGGGGCCAGCGAAAGTTGCAGTGCCAGCTCCAAGTGATTTTCTGCAGAAACATTCCAAGGAACCCAAGCTAGCACCAAGTAAGTGTAGACAGAAAATATGTGCAGTGTAATGTATATTTTAGAGTAGAGAGTTACCTCTTTGTGTCCTACAGTACTATGTTATGGCCAGCTGTCAGGTTGTAAAAACAGAAGTACTGGTTTGTGGGGTCAGTGTCAGGACCCCTGTTGTTGTTGGAATCAGTATCAGTATTATTGTGGGGTCAGCATCAGGACTTGGCTGTTGTAGGAATGAGCTTTGTCACTTGTGACATTACACTTATTTACCGCCAAAGAAGAACATAAACTCAGACAACTTGGATCAAATCATTATTTCTCGTAATGATAATGAATTAGAGTTATGTCTAGTGGGAAATATGATGGGAAATAATTATTCTTAATTGCTTATTGTGAGACTACTCAGATACTACTGAATTTCTGTTTGTGCCTTGGAGAAAAGATTACACTAAAATGGAAGAGATTCTATATTCTCTGGAGAAAGGATTATGAGAAGTTTTTTACAAGGATTAGGGAGCAGCAAGAGCAGGGCTCTTCTCTAAGGAGAGATGAGTCAGACATTGAGGGCAACCACAATGAAGACTGGGCAAAGACCTCACCAAGAGAGTGCAGTCCCACCATGTCAGGCCGGCCAGCAGAGCAGGGTGGTGAGCGAAGTCTGTCCTGTCAGTGTCCCACTGACCATCAGGCAAAATCAGGTTACAGGCCAGGTCCCTCACTGATCCCATATTGCTCTTCAGAGCAGGACTAGGGGCACACATGGCTGAGACAGCTCATCCAGGTATTGACAGGTGAAATGGAGTCCCAGAGCCCAAGGGGGTGGGGTGGATGCCCCAGCTGAGACTGGACAGGACCATTATTGCCCAAGGGCTCTGACAATGAGCACCTCTACTAGAATTAGTTATAATTACATTTGAAAAAAGTCCTGTACTACTGCAGTTAAGAGAAAATGAGTGACAAATAAGGAAAACCCATCTGAAACACCATAGTATTTCCTAGGTTATGAAACTTCTATTAGGCCAAACAAACATACCTCACAGTTCATTGACAGGCATTCTTTCATTGTAGATACTGTTTGGTTCTATTTTTATGTAATTCTTTACATAGTTTTTCCCTTTTGAGAAGTGTAATAATATGAAATTGCAAATCTCTTTAAATTTATTGCTGAGAATGTTTACATGCTCTTTTCACAGAAAAGAAGGAAGAAAATGGTAAAAAATTGATTCCATTATCAGTGCCACCCAGGACATACCACCCAATTACTCGCATTAAAAAGAATTTTATAAATAGAAATGCAGTTGCTGTTATAACGGGAGAGCCTAAAAAGCCTCGACATTTTTGTGTTGATACAAGACAGGGAGATAAATATCTCCTTGAACCTTCAGGACTTTTTCCAAAATACATTAAAAAAAAGGTAGGTTTTATTAAATTGTATTGGAAACACTATTCGTAATGCCTGTTTTAGTTTCACTATTGCATAGATACCATGGCTGCTCATGTGAGACCTCTTGAATTCATCAAGAAGAAATCACTGGCACTAGACTTGTGCCTTGCATTTGCTTTGTTTTCATTTGCTGTCAGCAAAAAAAAATTGCAGAATGATTGTTCTAAAGCAATGGCATATGTCTTGCATTGGGAACCCAGGGAGTGTTTAAAATGGGGATATATGGAATTCTGTGATGAGTAAATGTTTCTGCTTAGAAAAGACAGGCAGGGAAGAAGAGGGTTGCCCTTTGAATGGAGGAGCTGTTCAAATAGATAGAGTTCTTCTATGAAATTGGCAACAGACTGGTTGAGCCTGTGGGTCAGAATCAGAGGAAAGGCCAGAGACTGTCAAAAGTGTGTTTGTTATGGAGCACCCAATAAGGTGAGGAGCTGGATGAAAAAAATCTCTTTAAGCAGCTTGAGGAAATCTTCAGATCATGATGCAGCTTCTTATGGAAGACTTCGCTCTCCTTGAAAGTTGCTGAAAGTATAACACAGTGGCGTGAAAGTAATCGAAAAAGTTTCCTGAAGTATGTCAGCAACATCTTTCTTCACACATGGTGGATGAGCAAATCAATGGTCATGCTCTTCTGGTTCTCCTGCTTACAAACCAGGACAAATTGCTCAGGGGTGTGATAATCAGTTGTAGTCTGGTTGGCACAGACCGTGTAGCAGTTGCAGACCTCCTCCTGTTCAGGGAGCCAGGTGGTAGGGTACTGACTGCTCAGGAGAGCAAACAGCAGCTTATTGAGGGTAACTGGTAAGTACGACCCCATGTGAGACAGCTCTGGAAATCAAAGACCTTGGGAGAGCTGACATGGTTTTAAGGACAACCTCCTCTGTGCACAGGAACAGTCCATCCGCTACCCAGGAAAATAAGATCTATCAAGAGTCTGGCTTATCTAAACGTGTAACCCATGACAGAGCATTAAGAGATGACATAAGACATAATTCATGACAGAGAAGATGACAAAAAGAACCTGAAACCCTTGCAGTAGTTTTCCATGGCTAAACATATATATAAATAATGCTAGTCACGGTGCTGCCTGACACTAAAAGATTAGTGAATAATTTTGCATTTAGTAGAAAGAAGGTAGACTCTGATATCTTTTGGCTAGAGGAGCTTCGTTTTACAAAGTTTAAGGCAAAATAGGTTTGTTTCCCCAATAATGTCTGGGATATTCAGAAGTTACTTTTTCCCTCACTGAAACACATCCGTATGGGATAGTTTATCCTTATTAATTAGACTCATTTTTATGTATGTATTTTTGCATGTTGCAATGTTCAGCAAAAATCAGAATACAGGAAGACCTTTCAAAGACATTCTCTAAGGCATGTTTCCAATCATAGAAGCTGATGCTGTATAAAAATGTAAAAAGCTCACTGTCATGAACAGGTTTCGAACTCCTTGCTCAACCATCAGTTCTTATAAGTAGACATTTTGGTTTCTGGATTCTGTTGTCTTCTAAGGATGTGAAAATAAATTGAAGGGAATTGTTTATATGTTTTTCTCAGGCTAAAAAGATTATTAAGAACATGGTGACTTAGGATTTTAGTGCTCAGTAGTACAAATTGTCATTTCAAGCTATTTTTGCAAATGGAAAGATGACAGATATCTCTTTTTTTTCCTTCTTAAGAGCACCTATAAGGAACTTCTTCCTTCTCCTTACAGAATTATGGTGTTTTACCAAAATACGTGACACGGAGAAATGAAGAAATGAAGAGAGAGGAGGAAGAATACCAGGCCAGTGTTTTGGACCAACTCAAGAAGAAAGCCATGAAAGCTCTATCTGAAGAAGAAAGGACAAATGTTCTGAAGGTGCATATTTTGATTTAGTGTAATTAGTATCATGTCCAAAAGATTAAATACAGTAATGTGAGTCCATATAATAAAATAAAAGTATACTTTTTTTGTTTTTTAAGCGAAACTAATTAGTTGGCTACTTTTTCACTAGATGGAGCCATAGAACAGTTGTATACAACTGAAAGGAACTGCTGTAGCTACAGTTTTAATAGTTTTCAATTCTGTTTGGTTCTTATCCACCTTAATGACTTAAAATTTCAGAAACTTCAAAGAGCAGAAAATTACCAATATGGATTTAGTGGCACTTATTAATGGAGAAATACAATTTTTTTCCTAATGCAGAATATTGCTCCTTTTATTGGCAGTTTCTATCTTCACATAGTGGCCTCACTGATCAAAGCATAATGACTTGCTTTAAAATGTGGCAAAAAAAGAAAACAGAATTAAATTGCGATATAGTCATAGAACTACAACTGAAAATTTTGTATTTTGTCAAGTTGTTCTGTATACTGTCTTTCATACAGTTTTTATTGCACAACACTTTTTAAAGAGAATTAATACCATAAAAGTAGAGCATAAAAGAGAGATCCATAAAAGTATATCTTGCCCTAGAACTGGATTTTTTCTTGACCACTTTTTAGACAATTTCCCTATGAAAGTCAAGTTTATATGACTGTGATATCTGTATATCAGTTTGTCCCTTAATAACTTGCTCTTAACATCCACCTGAAACAAATTGATAGATAGATGGACAGCTCAAAGATGCTGAATGCCCACAAAAAAAATATCTAGAGAGAAAACAGTGTCTAACTCACTTGCCTGAAAGATGAACTGGTTAATTGGTAAGGTCTGAAATGTCCAGCACAATGGTCTTTTGCATATACAACAAGCAGTGGAAGGAGTATGGGAGAGAGGTGAGGGTATTGCACTGACAGCAATATAAAGAACAAAACAGCATGCTGTTTTGAAGAAGATTGAGATATTTTTATGGTGGGAAAGGCATGGGACAAGCTGATGGTCTAACAAGTTAACTATGCAGAAAAAATATGTGCACAAAAGGCATGTGAGTTCAGCTGCTCACCATTCTGCATTTAGTTTGATAAAAATGATGTCCTGTATTTTTGAAATACAGGAATACACTGGAATATTTTTTTAATTTTTAAATTATTAAGATTTTTTTAACTCGGTATTTATTTTAATTTTTTGTTTCAAAAACATTTGGACTTCCATGGGCTTATTTATATGCAGTTATATTGTCAGGAGGAGTTAGTGTCCCCAGGGTATGTGGCTTCTACCCAGTGCTCAGCTGTAGACATATGGGAATTTCTATCCTTTAAAATAATTGACATTGCTAGTGAACACATGTGCACGATCTGATTTGAAAGAATACGTGGCAATAGATGCCTGAGACCAAAATCAAGCCTCATGACCTTACAAAAATAAAGGGAAGTAATTTGTGCCAACATTTTTTGAACTCTTCATTGTGCTTACTTTGGTTGGGGTTTTATGGGAATAAAAGAGAATGTTGATAAATGCAGTACATATTTCTCACTGATCCAGCATGTTTTAGAATTCCATATATAGAGCTGGATATTCAGTTTGTGATCTAGCTGTAGGAATAGTGGTTGTTGGAGGAGCTATGAAGGAGATTTTTATAGAGTCATGATCTGCTTTTGATCTCTCCACTTTGTAGGGATAGAGCAAATTTGATGAATGTATGCTCTAATGTTTTAAAATTCACTGTTTTAAATTATTTCCAAGTCAATTCTTGCTAATGTACACAAATAAGAATTACTTAAAGAATCTATGAATTACTCTTTTATGAAAGTTTTTGAAAATATGAGATTTATTTTTATGGCTATATATTTGTAAACGGTACCTGATGCCTGGTAGACTATGAACCTTATCAAAGTCCTTTACAGCCTTGGATAGCAAAGACAAGTATCATTACCAAACAGTAGATAAATATCCTTGTTGCTTTAAGCTTCACATGTAGCAGTAAAGTTTTTAAGTTTATGTAGATATTTATATATGAAGATTGTTGTAATGACCTTTATGAACAACACTTAGATGCATAATATGAATATGCAAAAAGCTTGAATTGCTATGCAAAAAATACACTGCTTTGAATTGTTAAAATATTAGTTCATAATAAAGGTTACATTTTTCTTAGTGTTGCCAGGAGAGTTAATTTTTTTTCTGTAAATTGATTTATACAGTCAACAAAAGACAAGTTTTTAAGCACAAGAGCCCTTGAGTTCTGAAACAGAAACAACAGTCTTCAAAGTTAAATATGTATAAAAATAAACCCTCTAAGTTTAACTTCAGTATCTTCATCAGTTAGCCAGACTGTGAGAAAAGTGTTTAATAATAATGGAGGACATGAGTTTGTAAATTAGAGCATGCCATAAAATCAGTGTGCCAATTGAATCCAGTTTTAGTTATGGAGAAGAGCTGAAAGCTTTGGTTCCCAAGACAGTAACTTGATTTCTTTGCTTTTGAAGATACTTTGTGATATCCTCTAAAATGACAGAACTGAGAGCCATAAACATTTTGGAGAACTGTTTTCTCACCCATAGGTGTGTTATTTACTGACTGCTGCCTCAGTTCCTCGTTAGTTGTGATTATTAAGTTCACCCAAATTCTCACATACATGTGGATAGAATTTATAGATTTGGATTATACTTTTGAGAAGAGAAAGTAAGAGCATTAGTTGGGGTAATTGTAAGAAGGATATAAAGACAAGATGTACTTTTTTTCCTACCACTGTCTGGTTCCTTTTAATGTATATTGGTGGATAAAAGTGTTGTCTCAGGTGTCGACTTAACAGGTTTATGAATAAGTTTTGGATTATAGCATTTTTAATATTTTAACGTAGAATTTTAGTCTCAAGGTTTAATATATGGAGGTTATGGTTTGCTTTATCTAGAAAGGTGTGCTTTGCACAGCAGCATTCAAGAGAGGTGGTAGTTATTGAAATTATTGTTGATAGGGTCAGTGACAGGGTTTTTAGTCCAAATGATAAATAAATTGCCCATAGTTGTTACTGTAAATGTGGATTAGAAGGGGAATGCAAGTATTCAGTATTTTTTCAAAGTAGTTTATAGAAGTTGAATCAGTTTGGAATCCATTTGGTGACCATGGTCTGAACAAAATCTTGATTACAGAAAATTAAGCTGGTGGTGAGATGGCATGAAACGTTGCTGAATTTTGCTGAATATGGCTGGAGTTCCAAGTAACATAACTCTTAAGGGTTTAATGAATTTGGTCCAATTAAGATGATTACACAGTTTATGTACATATTGTTCTTATTTTTTCTCATATATTTCCTTTTCATATAATGGCACCAGGCACTGAAAAAGAACTGGGAAGAAATAAATCATGCATATCAGGGTCTTCCAATAGTAACAGACACCTTGTACAAGAAGATGCATAAAGAAGAGCTGGAATTAAAGCTGAACCAGCTGGAGCATGACATAGCAGCAATTGAGAAGCATAAAACTGTCTACATTGCAAATGTGTAAGGCTTGTTGTTCAGATACTGCCTCTTTTCTCCTTTTTCTCTGTCCCTGCATCTCCAAGAAGTGCCTCTCTAAATTCTCAGATGCTACTGTCAACTATTTAGGAGGAAATACTCAACTAAGTATGTAGCTCCTTAGAAAAGTTATTAAATATAACTCATCTGTACAATTCCCAAAACATTTTGAAATAAAATGCTTAACTAAACTCTGTGTATGAATAACAAAATTAATTTATTATTCTTTGTAATTTTTATTAACTACTAAGATTTCTATAAACATCATACAGAAAGCATATAAAACAGTGTTTCATATGTTTGGAGTACAACTTTCCTTGCCTAGCCAAAACAAAGGGAAATAATTGGCTGCTGAAGACAGCTTGGTAAATATAACTTCAGGATGGAATGGCTTCTGGATTATATATTAAAGAGATGTTGTGCTTAAAAGCTTGTGTGTATTTCTAAACAGCTTGGCTTCTGCATAACATTATGTGTACTCATTTTTTGTTACCAAAACCAATTTTTATTATAGAAACCTGAATAATACAGACTTCACAAAATACAGATACCACATATATGTTTTTACAAGTACATAATTCTGTAATACTATAATAAATCTACAGTTAAATTAGAAAAATGTGTTTTGACTGGAATTATGTGTGTACTGTTAGAATGAAAGCAATATACAAGCATCTGAATCAAGACTTAGACAAAATTAATCAGCACACTCTACTGCAATTGTTTGCATAGAAGGAAAAAATGGATTTTTTCCTGCTGCTTAACCTTTGCTTCATAGAATTGTAGGTATTGTTTAGATTAGAAAATTTTTTTTCAGCCTTTCAGAACACAGCTTTTTCTGTGTGGTGTCAATCACTACCGCCAGCAGCTGTTGTGACATCATCATATCTGACATCAGCAAAGGATAAAGTAAAAAAATTGAAATTAACTATGAAAAGCCAAATTTTCCCATAATTGAGTTCCCTTCTAAATTTATCAGGGAATGGCTTTGAAGACTTCACAGTGATTCTCGGCTTTATATCTTGTGCATGTTATACTAGTCTATGACATGCACTGGGAACACATGGGTGAGCAGGAATGCATATTTTCTTATTTCTAACTTGTTAAGCAAACATGTTCAGTTTTGAAGGATATAAGCTGGAAGAAAGCTGCAGATTTGTAAAATGTGGATTTAATATACTTCTTACTCAAAAGAATGACACACTGTATATTTTAACAAATCTACGCTTAATTGTTAGCACTTAATAATATGTGACATTATCTTCTAGTGAAGTACCTGATGCTCCTCTTAAGAAATTCAGTGTAATCAGAAAAGGCTGTTTCTTATAGCTTGAAATTTAAAAAGAAAAGGATTTGAATCCAAGATAGCATGCATTCCCACTGCCTCCCTTCCAGCCTTTACTTATTTGCAGACTGGCTGATTTAGGTTAGGATTTGTGTTTGGTTCTTCTGTCTATCATCAGAGCTGACTTTATGGAAATGCAAAATAGGTGGTGGCCTATCCCAAAATTTGTGATGAGCCTCTAGGCCACACTTATAAACATTCATCACTCACTAGTAAAAATTACTGATTTTTAACATTGTCAGAAGTATGTTAATACATTATTGGGAAATTAGGAAGTGAATGGGAAGGGATGCAAAAAGTATTCCTGCTTAGCAGAAGAGGAAGAGACAAAAGCCAGTGTCCTGTAGCTGAGTGGACTGTCACTAGTGTCCTTCAACGGTGCTGTGGCATCTTTTTCCTCAGTCTCGTATAGCTCTTTGCAGGTAGCTCTGCTGCATGTTCTGCTCATGAGACATATGAATTGCTTCTGGCACCCTGTGGAGAGGCTTTTGGTGTGTATTCCATGGGACCTGCCTACACCTCTGATTATGGAAAAAAATATAATGAAAATCATTGAAAATGCATGCAAAAGAATAATGTTCTTACCCTTTAGCTCTCTCTGGGAAGTTTGACAAAATAAATTTACAGAATCCAAAGAATGTAACTGTATTTATATGTTCAGGAAATGCCAGTAATTGAAAGTATAATGTTCGTGAATCAACTAATATGGACCATTGGTATAACAAAATGAAAAAGGTGAAAAAACTCAATTGTTCTGATAGAATTGTTCCCTCATAAAAGCTATTAAATATTAACAGAAACAAGTCTGTCCACAGACTAAAAAGTAGCATTACCATTGAAACATCCTTTAAATTCAATAGTCAGTTACTAATTATCAATGAAATAACAAAGACTATAACCAAACTGCTTCAGTATTTCATAATTATAAAATTGGTCATTTTAAATTGTTCATAATTAATTGGATAACCATAATAAAACATGAAAAATGGGACATTACTAATCTATGGATCAGTAAGAGTTACGTTCCCACAAACTGAAAACATTTCCTGTTGGAAGTTGTGTATGACAAAGCTGTGTATCTATTTTTTAAAAATAGCAAGGTGAAATTATGATGAATATCTCCCTGGCTGTTCTTGAGAATGAAACTATTTATATTCAGGAAGGAAGGGATCAGATATGGCATCATCACAAACAGAGGGAGTTCCTGATTGCTTCGAGCAAACATCAGCTCTGACAGGAGCATGTGGGCTTCATGTGGCTGATCTTGGACCATGGTGGCTTTTTGGGCTCTGCATGCATTCCTGGGGACTAAGTCTGGGACAGTTCTTCAAAACCTAGAGAGGTAACCTTATTCCACTCACAAAATTTAGTGGGAAAAATGGGAGAAATTTGCCACTGAAATAATTTTCCATAGTCTGTAGATAGTTTTTTTTGTGGGAGGGCATATTCTGACACCTTGTATATTTTGTGGAAAATTGGTACTGCAAACTGCTGCTGTGATGGCTCTGCCATGAAGCTAAATCTAGTCCTTTCATTGGCATCCATTTCAGACAACACAACATATCTAAGAATTTGTGACTTAATGAAGGCAAACATCTTTCAGATAAGAAAATTTCACATATATGCAGATTAATAGGATCCTAGATAAATGATAACCCTAGTCCACACTTTCATCCTCAGCTTTAGGATGCTTATAATATTAATAACATAATTAGAGGAGAGACGGGTGGCAAACCCTGTTATTAAGGTCATCTGACATTTCCCATAGTCAAGGAAGGCAGCTGCTGAGCCCTGCAGCTGGCTGGCATTGTCCACTCCAGGATCCAGGTGTGTATCGAGCATGACCAAGCCAAGGAGGAATGGCCATTCCTTCCATGAGTGGCCATCCACGATGGTGATGTACACATGACCACATGAATGCCTAGATTGTAGGGTTTTTCATACTATCTCTACCCTCCTCTTGCTCCTTCTTGTCATGCAAAGCTATGTAAATAAAATATGAGTAAATGCACAGTGTTCACCTTCCAGGCTAAGCAGTGGCGTTATGGTAGGAATGCAGCATGAGTTATTTTTTGTAGTTTTTTTTTTTTTTTTTTTTTACTGTTTAAAGGATGCTGATATAAATGTGACATATTCCAGCAAGTTATGAAACGCAATTTTTTTATAGACTGTACCTCCACAAATAGTTGTAGACAGGCAGACATAGCCAAATAGTAGCTGTATCCTGGTCTTGTTGATGCTGCTAGGAGAGTGAGCTGTTCAGTCACAGTACCAGCCTGTGGTGTTAATTCATTATGCCATACCATCCTCAACATTGACTCCACAGCATGAAGAAATTCACAGAAACATGCAAACACTGGAATAATTTTGTATTCAAATCTTTCCTCAAATGTCTTTCGCAGTGATGCTCACCAACAATTTAACAACAGCTGAGCTGCTGGTGAGCTGAAATAAGGATTTATCTTGCTGACCTGTGCAGTTTCCTTTAACTCCCCCCCAGCACTGTAGCTTGTTGTTTCTTGTCTTAGATTGTTAAGCTATCTGTCATATGGGTCATGTTTTTCTCTATTTGCTTAGTGTCTGAAACAATTTTGTCTGTTAGTAGAGCTCTTATGTGCTTATAATAACAGTAATAATAAATATGATCATCTGGCCATGAAGACTGTGCAATAAGATCCTTGTTGTTTACTAAAAGGATCTGTTTTCCAAGAACCCTCATTTCATTTGTTTCAGCAACTGGAAAGTAGGAGTTGAAGGAAGAGAAATTATATTTAAAGCACTTAACTTATTCCCTGGAGCAATATGATTTATTCATGTCTTTGTCATAGCATGTTTTTGTAATGTAATGGTAAATGACTTATACCTGGTATTTTCACTGATAATCATTAGTACTGCATTTCCCATTTTTGGAATTTCTGACATGCAATTTGAGCCCATCTCTTTTAAATATAGGATATGTGTGCCTAAAGTTAGAACTATGATTTGAGCCTAAACAGCACTGTGGAATAGTTTAAAAGCTCTTGCTTACTCAAAATTACTAAAATTAATGATCAATTTAGTCTTGCTAGGTGAGAGCACCCATATGGAAAATTCAAGTGACGCAATCTTCTAATTCCAAGAGCTGCTGTAAAAATGAATAAGTACCTCTAGAACTATTCTTTGAGGTCCATTTTAAAGGACCTGATGTTGCTTTGAGGTCCATATTCAAGCTGAGGAAGCAATGTAGTAATTCTCTCTTCGGAGGAAAAAACTCCAGTAGTGACCCCAAGCACTGCACAAGGGACAAACAACCACATTTTGCTGTCCACATTTTGCTGTTTGCTCAGGAGGAATGAATTGTCTTTTACACAAACAATAAAATTAGTAAATGGCCCATATCCAGAATTTCAGCACCATCAGGTTGTGGGTCATTCTGTGCTGCTACAGAGCACAGAGGCTGTCCATGGACAATCACTGTCCTGTGCAGCAGGAGAACTCTTGTTTTTCAATACACTTTTGTTACTGCAGTGTTTATTCTAGGCAAGCTGTGAAGTATACAAAATTATATCAAAGATAACTGAGCCGTTCTGGAAGAAAAAAAAAAAACCTTACATTGTTATTGTTTATTTGTTTAAGACACTCTGAATTCTTTTCTCTGGCAGACTTTTATAGATTTGTTTTAATTTAGAAAAAAAAAAAATTAAACAGAGGGATGAAACCAAGTGAACAACCTCCTTAAAAAAGAAAACAAACTCTTAACAGTTAAATTCATTATTTTGGGTGTGACCCACTATATAGTTACAACTCCCTGACTAGTTTCCATGGTCATGCATGATGAATTTGTCATAGGATATGATGTGAGCAGCATTCCTTGAAAATAGTGCTTTATCATTCAAACATCAATACCTCTAAATAGCTGGCTAGGGCAAATATTTCCATAATATTATAAAGAATATAAAGTTTATACTAGTACTGAAGGACAAGAGGAAATTTCTGTTTGCATTTCTTTCAGCTATAAGGACTTTATATTAATAACATGAACCTGAAAAGCAGGAAGGGTATCTTCAGGAGTCAGGAAATTGCAAAGCAAAGCTCGCTGCTCTAGTTTGGCACAATGAGATTAATAACAAACAAAAATGTAGTTTTGTATTAAAGATGTTTATCATAGACCAAATAAGTCAAAGCCCAGGGTTCTGTCAAGCAGTGCCTAACAGTGATTTGAAGGTTATAAATATTTGAAAAAACAAGACTAACATCTTGAATGGCAGCTTTTAGCCATTTTCTTGATATCAAAG